AGGGCTTATACTATTTTATTTTGGCCGAGAGATTACAAGCCATTTGAAGGAGAGATTCATGATTGATGTATCTTTGCATTCATGACTCATACAAATATTGCTAATAATAAATAGCAGATGTCTCCATATGTCTTTAATGAGCAAGTAAATGAATAAATAGAATCCCAGGTCTTATATTTTTTTGAAAAGATGCAATACTATCATAGTTATAACCAAGTAAACTTAATAGATCACCAGAGGACACTCTTAATGTTATCTGTATAAGAAAACAAAACAAAGCAAAAAAAAAAAAAAAAAAAAAAAAAAAACAAACCCAAAAAAACCATCCAAGCATTTGATTTATAAAAAGCTTCATGTCCTTTTCAGTGAGTTACTAAAGAATTTTCTTTTGGCTTTGTGGCATAGATTGTTTCCTCACTAACTCCACCTTGTCCCATAGCACACAAATAAGAATAGCTTTCGTATACATTTAGTTTACTGTCATTTCAAAAACTCCTTGTAACCTGCTGTTTTGCACCTATCATCTCTTCACCATAGTGCAGGGTAGTTTGAACCCGAACCATCATAGCGTAGAGGTAATGATCGCAGAACTACGAAGTGACAGAAGCAAGAGCAAACTCAGAACCCTCTGATCCAGAGCCCAAGTTATAACCACCATACCTTAATACTTCTACTTAGAGTATGATTCATGGATTGTTTCTATAGTTATATGATTCAATTAATATTGATCTGCAGGAAAAAATTCCTTTTATGCTAGTTATGTAATAGTAAGCATACAAGTTTCTAAGTTAATTTTTTCTTTATATATCTATATATACAAATTAAATATTTAAATGTAGATATACATTTATATAAGATTGTTTAAAAATTCTAATTCAATTTGCCTCTCAAAGAGTCAAGGTGCTATCTTAATTATTTTATTGAAATTAGAATTACGTGCAGCTTTCCTGGCGGGATTGCTGTGACTTCTGCCTCTGCCATTTTAGCGATCACACTCTTCCTCCAATAGGCTTTTTAATTAAGAAGCCAGGCCACGTTGAACAAGCAGCTGTGCACCAACAGAGGCCCCAAACTTCCCAAGACTTACATACTTACCGAGGAATGTAGATCAGCCTCCCTTGAAGGGAAGGAAGTCTTTGACCCTTACAATGAGGCCATTTTCTTAATTAGGTACTTTTACATATACCATGGCATTATTATCTTTTCATTCTCACAACCTTCACCCTTTAAAAGGTAAACCATCACTTCCTTTTACTAGATAAGGAAACTACAGCTTAGCAGGGGTTAATGCTAATAACTGTGACAAAAATCACAACAGCTAGAATACAGAAACAATTGGACAAAGCGAGGTTGATTCCAAAGTGCAGGCTTTTTTCTTTTTTTCCTTTCTTCTACTTTGTATGTAGTAGAATACAGTTAAAACATGAACAATATAACTATAATATTGCAAAGTCACTGGGGGAGAACTTTTATGCTAGTTAAAAATCAAAATTATACATCCAGAAGGGATTTTATGTTTCATTTACTGTTGATATTTTGAGACAGGGGCTCTCTGTAGCTCCAGCTGGTCTGGAACTCACTAATGTAGACCAGGCTGGCCTTCATCTCACAGAAATTTGCCTGCCTCTGCCTCCCAAGTGCAGGGATTAAAGGTCTGTGCCCCCACATCTGGTAGGAAGGGATTTTATTAATCGGTCTGAATAACCTTATTTTATCAGTAAATAAGGGAAACTGATGCTTACAGATCACCTGCAGATGTACAGTTAAATTGAGACAGAATTGTAAGTCAGACACAGGCCTGCCTAAATCCAGGGATCTTCCCATGTGAAAACATTGCCAGTCCCAGGAACTGTCTTCAGTAACCTCACATTTAGATGGGGGTCTCATCAATATTAATGATATTGGCAAGATAAAAACAAAGGTCTGCAGCCTGAATGTATATTTTGTTCAACAGCTTTTCTATCTCACCAGTGCCCTACTTGTAAAATTCATGCAAACATCTGCTGTTTCATATCTGTAATTTGATTTGTGATCCTTTGAGGGAGCGCACGTCCTCAGTGTAAATCAACCTCCTGCTCAGACGTAGGGAAAGACCTGAGTCTCCTATGACCACGTCTTCTAGTCCCTCCTACAGAGCCGGGTAGCACTTCATTTATGAGTCCATTAATTAATACTAGACAAAACATTACTTGCCTTACCACACAAACACTGTAAAACCCAAGCCAAATTTATTTTAATTAACAAGAGTGGTCCTCTGTACTGCTGCAGGGAAATATACCCTCACTGTGATTCAGACAGTCTACATTTGGCTTGCAAAAAAGTAGATTAGCGTGGCAGACTACCAACTTCAAATATTTAGACAAGAAAAACTCTGGAATCATTTTCTAAAAAGTAAACACATTAATATCATTTCTCATTTTTTATATACTTGGAAAGAATGCCTAACCTACAGTAGGTGCTCAATAAACATAATCATTGTTCCAATATTTTAAATTCTGTAACTAAGAATGACACAGAGCAGCCAATTGTGTGTCTCTTGCTTTTCTGTTTTTTAAAAGAACATTTTATTTTTTTAAATATTTTATTATTATTTTATGTGTATGAGTGCATTGCCTGCATGTATGTGAGTGCACCCATGTTGTGCAATGCCACAGAGGTCAGAAGAGGGCTTTGGATTCCCCTGGAACTGGAGTTAAGGACGGTTCGTAGCCGCCATGTGGGTGCTGGGAATGGAACCCGGGTCCTCTGCAAGAGCAGTGTTCTTAACCGCTGAGCCATGTCTCCAGCCCCCACTTACTTTTTTTTTTTTTAATATTACATGTATGGGTGTATTGCCCGTGTGCATGTAACTGCATCCATGTTGTACAATGCCTGTGGAGGTTAGAAGAGGGTATTGGATTCCCTTGGAACTGGAGTTACAGTTGTTAGCTGCCATGTGGGTGCTAGGAATCGAACCCAGGTCCTTTGTAAGAGCAGCCAGTGCTCCTAACCACTGAGGCATCTCTCCAGTCCCCTGCACCTTGCTTTTCTTACACATTTTCAAAGCTCTTGTCTGGGAATCCCTTTTTAGCCAATGTAGGGGAGCAGTGCTAGGAAGTCTCAGATTCTCAGAGTCACCATTGGGATCAGGTAGAGAAGTGGGCACTTAGGTGATGGTGGACATTTTAAATGGGGCACAATGTTAGCTGCTGACAGTGGGAGGCTGGGCCAACTGAAGCTCAGGTACAGGGAGAGATAACAGCGACTCAGGATTTATACAGAACAAGAAACACGAAATAACTAGTAGAAAGGAGTATGTGAGCAGATATGGGAGGCTTGTGGCTAGGAGTAGGAAGTGTCTGAGAGAGGTTACAGCTGCCAAACGAACTTGTAAAGCATGAAAAGAAGCAAGAAAGTACAGGGCCGAATACCCAGCACCGGGCACTCTGATGCGGGCAAAAAGCTTTAGCTATTATTGAGCGTTCCACAACTGAGTCAGTATTTCGTATCATCTCATACCCTTCTAAATGCAGGCTTCACTTTGGACATTTTCTTTGTCAGTGAATTTGTCCAGGCCATGTGGCTAATAAGATGGAACCAGAGGATTACCATGCTGTAGTTCAACGGTTGCCAGATTCTGTAGGTTGCTTAGAGCTTTACAGGAGGTGTGGTAAGGAAAGCCCTACAAACCGGTTTCAACTAGAGCAGTGGCTCTTTGATCCGTTTTACAGGACATACTTGCATATAATACTTCAATCTAAGTAAGAATGTTGCTACTTCAAAAACCAAAAATCCCATACCTATAATCCCAGTACTCAGAAGGCAGAGGCAGGTAGATCTGTGTGAGTTTGAGGCCAACCTCATCTACATTTGTGAGCTCCAGGCTAGCCAGGGCTACACAGTGAGGCCCTGTCTCAACAGCATAACAAAAACACCCCCAAAACTCAACTGTTAGAATTGAGTAAATGTTTCTTCTGGCCGTAGTTAACAAGGCAGGTAGCCAAAAATTGACCGTACTCAGCACATCCTAAAATATTCACACCAAAACAGAAAATCATTCAAGCCATACTGAGGCAGCAGATATTTGGTATACTTGAAGACCAAGGCATTTCTGTGATATAGAGGTGGGGGAAATCTAAATGCTGAATGCCAGGGGTGATAGCAGGTCCCCAAAGCATGGGCAGTCGGAGGACTTCTGGCTGTGTTTACAAGTCAACCAGGGGTGTTGTATTCATTTCTCCACTGAACACCATATGGCAAAGGCCTTGACTGTTATTGCTTCCACAAGTCTCCCACTGTCAGCAAAGACAAATCTGCTGCTGGGTGCCATAACAGATAAAAATGGCTCTAATAAGCAGTGAAGTCATTTGTGATGCACTTTTAATTGGATCAATTTCATCTCAATTATATAATCTTTGAAAATCGGATGCAATTTCATAATTAGAACACGGAGCCTTCTCCCCATGCAAAGCAAAAGATAAACTAGCTCAATATCACATTAGGTATTTCTTTACCCATCCTCTCCGACAGCTATCACAACAGAAGTCAGGGGAAAGGGGAGCACGAGATAAACAACCATGTCACCAAAAAATAATTTGGGATAGTTTAGTTTAATCACCTTGCTTCTGGGACAACAAAGGGCCATGGCTTTGGCTTGCAATCAGTCCTACACCCAAGAGCAAGACAGTTGCTTAGCAGACACTGAGGCCTATGCGATCTCATCACCAATTCTGTCACTTCTAGTGAGTGAGCTAGCACATGGTTATCTTCCTGTTTGCACATGGTAGAGGCTCAATTTTGAACAGGGTGTTTGTGCTGCTAAACCTACCTTGGAGGCAAGGCTGATTCTGTTCAAATGTATGTGGAAGTGAAGCTTGGATTATCTTTATATGATGGTATTGTTGGCTATATTCTGAACTAAGAATGCTATGCTATCAAAGAATACAGTGTCAGCACGCAAAACGGCAAGCTACCCCATACCTCCCAAATCCCGTATGTAATCAACACGTGAACACCAATCATGAAGTTATCAATCATTTTAATGCTTGATAGAACCTAAGTAAATCCTAAAGCCAAACAGGATGCACTCACTTGAAGAGAATACAGAAGTCACCACTCAATGGTTTGTTGTCTTAGTAATGAAAACAATGTGTCCACCGTTCCACTCTGTTAACTGCAGCCTGTGTTGTACAGTTCCTCAGACAGCACACAGCACAGGTGGGTGGAAAGAGTATGAAAATTTCTGAGCCCTATAAATTGTCCAAAGTTTGCTGGTTATATCACCATTTGCTTGCTGGTCTCCATCTTCCTTGGCTGTGGCCTAATTCTGACTTTAAAAGGCAGAGCAACTTCCAAGCTGAAGTTTTCAATGCTACCCAAGTAGGGTCAACGCATTCTCTGCTACGTCTCTGATGAAAAGACAATCCATAACGGCATAAATCCCCCAGTCAAGAGGTCCTGCTTCCCACCAGGCCTGTGGATCACCCTTGGTGGCACTTAAGATGCACTCGCACGCTGGTAAAAATGAAGGTGATCAGAAAGAGACACCATGCTACAGGGATACGATGTCACTGAAGGGTGGAGCAGGTCCCACTGGAGCATGCACACAGAATGCAGCCAGACTTAAAGAGAAAGCACCACAGATGAAAGATGTTATAATAAGAGGGAAACACTGGACCAGGGACATCAGAGTCCAGAGGAGAAAAATCAACAACGATTTGGTAGGAATAGAGGGGCAAATTTCAAACCCCAGGGCAAAGGGCTACAACGCCTCTCTCTACTGAAGCCTTGGAAGTGCCTAATTTCTATGCAAACGTCTGCTAACAGCCTATCTGGGATAATGTACCTGCTACAGCTCTATATTTAGAATGGGAGAGAGGCGGGGTGAGGAAGGAGAGGGGAAGGACAAATTAAAAGCACTGGAACTAGAGCTTCTAAAATTCTAGGAAAGTCGAGCTGGAATCAGGACACACACCCAATCTATTCTATATTATCATCAGCAACCAAGGACTAAGGGAAGGGAAGTCGGCTGAGGAGAGGAAACCGGTATTTCTCCTCTTCTAAGGGGTGGAGTATCTTCTCAGATGGTAGCTGTATATCTTGATGCAATGGTCCCAACAGTCCAAGACCAGCAGCTGCCCCTTAGGAGTGAGGGCAATGCCCACTGGACAGGTAAGCCCCTCTCGAATAAGGACACTGTAGCCCCCACCCTTTGGAAAATGGAGGATCTCCTTACGACTGCTATCGGCCACAATCAGGTCACCTCGGGCATCCACGCACATGCCGGCGATGCAGCGGAAATCCTCGTTCTCAGAGAAGAAGTGGCTGATCTGGCGCCCCAGCTGCCCGTCAGGGCCCACGGAGCCAATGGAGAATCCACCCTCCAGGTGATGCTCGTTCTGCCGGTTTTCCAAGTTGAGGCCCAAGCCCTGGGTGAAGTAGACGGTGCCTTCAGCATCACAGGTGACGAATTTGGGGCGTACAGCACTGCAAAGGCAGCTGTACTTGACAACTCCTGCTCCTCGGTCAACAGTGAAACACCAGAGCTTCCCACCTTCCACGTCAGTTACCACAAACTGGCCAGATGGCAAGGCTGTGATGCCCCACGGTTTGCTCAACTGGCTCCTGTGACAGGCCACACAGTGGCCGTCCAAGGTATACACCTTAAGGGAGTTGTCGTAGCTGTCAGTCACACCAATCAGTCCATGGCAGTTCATGGCCACGGAGAGAGGAGTGAGGTTGGGCAGATCGGCCCCCAGGAAGCTTAGCACAAAGCTGTCAATGCCGCTGGGGCTTCGGCGGATCTCCTTCAGAAAGCCTTTGCGGGTGAACACTTGTATACGGTAGTTGCCACGGTCAGCAACCAGCACCTCGCTCTGACTGGTCACGTAGAGACTGACTGGAAGATTGAACATGCCCGGAGTGCTGCCTTTAGCCCCCATCTTCTTGAGAAAGAGGCACTGCTGGATACTGGAGCCTGCCTCGGAGCTCCGCTGTTTGGCAGGTGAGGCCCGGGGGCTGGCCACCCCTTCCTCAGGGCTCGTGTCCATCTCTCTAAAGGTGACAGAGGTGGAGGCAGTGGATGCTACCACGTCCTCCATAGCCCAGGAATCGTCCATGTTAACTGTCCGTGGCTTCTTCACAGCCTGTCCGATCTGAAGGGGACCGACATGGCCCACCTTAAGGAGCTCCACATCTTGCAGGGTGAGCTCCAGGGGCAGGCTGGCAGTGAGCTCTGGCTCCTCCTCATCTGCTGTCTCCTCCAGTAGGGCAACATCAGCCTGCTTGATCTTGGCCAGAAAGTAGTCGCAGCGAGACACAGCCTGCACCTCTGCGATATTGAGGAGGTAGCTCTGCTCCTCTACCACTTGACTGTTGGACTTCTCAACTTCTGCCAAGGAGCCCGTGAAGAACTTCCGAGAGCGAGCCAGCTCATCCTGGATCCTGCGCTCCTCGTGCCCGTACTCCTGGAGCACAGCCTTGTACCTTGCTTGCAGGTCCCTGGAGACCCCCTCCAGGGCCCCCTTCCTCCGCTGCAGCTCCCCCATGAGCTCCCGCAGACGAGTCAACTTCTCCCCGAAGTCCCTGCGCCTTTCCTCGGCCGCCTCTTTGACCGGGAGCGTAGAGTGGCCGGGGGGTTGGTGATCTGCCTCCCGGCAGGGTTCACACAACACCAGACCGCAGCTCCTGCAGAACTGCCGAGGCAGCCTCCGCCCACAGGCCCGACACATGAGCAGCCCCACGGCTTCGCTGAGCCCCGCGGTGTCAATGATCTTCAGCACCGTCAGGTTGTCCGTCAGCTGGGTCAGGCTGGTGATACGGGTGATCTTGCTGCAAAAGGGACAGCGGACTCCATTGATGCTGCTGGCCAGCAGCTTTTCCAGGCACTGGCGGCAGATGGTGTGGCCGCAGTGCAGCAGCTTGGGCCGCAGCTGCTCCTCTGTGAAGGACTCCATGCAGATGGGGCACTCAAGCACTTCCCGGAGAGCATCCAGGTTCAGGTGAGAAGCTGCAGCGGCCACCGCCATGGCTCTTCCCGAGAAGGTTCCTACTACCAGAGCCCAGAACCCAACAGCTTAGTGTTCATGCCCCAAGGTCAAGTTCCTGCCAAAGAGAAAAACAAACCATTACTCATTTTCCACTGCCTATGGCGAGTAATCCAGTCGAGAATCACTTAGAGGACAGTTAAAATCACTCACTTGATCACGTACTTATTTAGCAAATAATTTTATTGAGGCCTACTATGTCTCAGGTGATAGAGACACAGTGGAGTGGCGGGGGCTGGGAGGATCTAAGCTTAAACCTGTTTCCCCATCATCTATGCTACAGAAATAATGACAGTATTATTGTAAGGGTTAACTATGATAAATTTGACATCCATAATACAGGACCTGACAAGTAATATCCTTCTAATAATTGTGACTAACTTACGTTTTACGATGTTTAAACCTTGTAATTTATACTCAAAGAAAAGCATAGGGAAAGCATGCACAGTGAAAAGAGACATGCCAGTCCACACTACACCCTGTGGGAGCGCAGTGCACATGGAGGAAGGCTGTCCAGACGTGGTGCTCCTTCTAAGATACTTCTTGAAAGAAATGAGGCAGTGATCGGTAAAGCTCTTTTAAGCAAAGAAAACTGTCAGCAAAAGAGTGAGAGCTTTTTAATTCTCTCACAGGGTTCACGGTGTCTCATATTTGGGGGACAAGAAATCAGTCAGAAATAGAAAAGTCTCATTTGCAAAACATCAGATAGGGAAAATAGATGTTGTTTCATTCATATCCCTACCTATCCACCCTTGTTAGTCTAGTTATTGTGGTACTGTATAAAATAGTAACAGCTTCAGGATACAAATCCTGACCTACTTTAAAAAGACAAACTTGTATATTGAATCTAGGTAGACTGAATGTGACGGATGTTGAAACGGACTCATTCTCATTTGAAGGAAAACAGAACTTTAGAGAGGAGGCAGCGCTTGATTCAAGCCTAGAAGAACGCATCAGGCAACGGACACAGCCTTAAGCAAGGCGGGAAAGCAGATGGAAAACAAGCTCCAGAGAGTGGGAAGGGCAGAGAACACTGGGGCTCTCTACATGGAGTGCAAAAGCTTCCTTCACTGGGTTCCTGTGAGAATGAGCTGAAATAACCCATGTAAGGGTAGCACAGTAACATTTGCCTGTGTATCAAAAAGCCGTAAGGGAACACTGGTTCTCTTTTTTTCTTAAAATCATGAGAAGATATAGGGGAGAATAGTGGAAATCCAGGGGAAGGTAATCTGAGGTTGATGGTAAAGACTCAGGACACAAAGGGACTCTGATGTGAAGATGAAATGTGAAATTCATTGTGAAGGCCCTGGCGGGCTTTGCAGCACAAAACCGATTTTCCCAAAGCTGGAGTGGAGTGGTGGGGGGATCACAGCAACTAGTTTAGCAGCTACAGCAAAGTGCCTTCAAGAGGTAGCAGGGGAATCTGACCTTGGGGAGCAGGTAGAAATGGAAAGAATGCAGCAAACAACATTGCCGAGCTGTACTGTCATTACTACCATTTCTAGATCAACTAGCTTATGGTGGGGACATGTGAAGAGCTCAGATGGCCAAACAGTCAAATTCAGATGATTTAAAGAGCAGCAGTTCCTCATCAAGACAGTTTGTTTCTGTCTGGCCTTCCCTCCCATCACACAGGGCATCCTATGGGCACCCCTGTTCTTCCCCAGGACACATGCTTATGAAGCAGACTTAAGAGATATCTCAGTGCTCTGCAGCCTTATGTCACTGCTGACCTTCACCTAAAATTAGAATGAATACAATGAGCAGGGTAAGGCACGTGCATAAATAAACTTCTTAAATGCAAATCACACATGCAGTCTTATAATATAGATGGGACATCCCTGAGGAGGAAGAGGAGGCTGAGAGCAGGTTAGCTTGGTTTACAGGACAATGCAGCTAGCTGAGGGAAGCCTTGTTCACATCAACTTTCTCCAGGCACATGGGGGGAGGGTGGCCAATGGAAATATATATATCAAAACACCAGCAGCTTCAGAAGGGGCTTGACAAGTGCTCTGCAGCAGAAAAGCACAATTTATCAAGTCAGCTTCACCTCTGGGAAGTGTCCCTAATTCAAAAACTGCTCCAGTATTCTAGTGCCCACTATGCTCTAGGCAGCACGTCCAGTGTTATATCTGTTGCCTTTGCTTAATCTTCATCAGGACAATGGAATGTGGGCAGGATTTTTATTAATCCACTTTACAGATGAGAATAATGAAGTTCAGGAAAACTGGCTCAAGGGTATAGAGCTCAAACATGGTAGAATATTCTAGTACACTGCCTTTACTTTGTTTAACCCAACATGACTTCCAAGCGTGCGTGTGTGTGTGTGTGTGTGTGTGTGTGTGTGTGTGATTTAACATTTATTAACAAGTGCTCTCTAGACTGTGCTTAGGAAAATGCTGCCTTTAAAACATATAATTTTCTCCTTGAGGAAGAAATGGTAATATAGTTTTGAGATTCAGCCAATACAGAGTGGGTTAGAGTGATTTATAAACTGAGTGACTTACCTGCATCCTCTTGCTTTGCAACCTATTACTGCTCAAATCCATAAATCCATGCCTCGAGAAAACAACAAATTACTAGGTATCATGATCCGAAGTGATCTCCTATGGCTATCTAAAACTATGAGTGCTGAATCCTCAAATGCCTTGGTCCTGGGGCCAATAGCACACACACACAAATACAGATAGAAACCATGACTCAAGATCCAAGCAAGCCTTCTGAATTCTAAACCAACAGCTTATTTCTGTCTTCTATCATCTGGGACAACAGACTGAGGGCAACATTTGGTGTTTGGATCCAGAGCATGTTACCTTATAGTGTGCAGGGACATCTGTTCCTCCTGGAGCTGGCACTGTGGATCAGCTCATTAAACAAGTCTGCCAACTTGTAAAAATATCAGCAAATTCTTTTCCCAGATTTCTGGAGTACCATATCACCTCTCTCAGTTCAAAAGCTCCTTGCCTCTCTAAGCTATCAGTTTTATAAAATGCATTTACTATACCCACATCCTACCCAAAATTATCTTACCAGTCCTCAGCTTCCCTGAGTTCTCTAAGGATGTCAAGCACCTGTACCCTGAAGCTGCTGTGCTTTGCCAGAGAAATCCCAACACTAAAGCATCAGGCATGGAGGGCCTCAGACCTGGAAAAAGCAGGCACCACTTCCATTCCACACCTGAGAGTGGGATTTCAGGTTCTTAGCCTGAAATGAAACCAAAAGTCAGGCAGATCCAGCCTCTCCTCCACAGGGCCTATCTGGTCAGTACTGTTAATACTGAGACTGAATCTCATGGAAGCTTCATATAACATCAGTTTCCCTGCAAAGAGTATTTAAAGGAAAGGAACTGCACCATTATCCCAAGCCTTGGCTACCCATCTCCTGCCAGCTATAACAATCTGTAACTAACCAGAACATGTTATTTATGATCTTGGAGGCTGTCTCCACAATTCCTTAAACATGTTTCCTGTTGTTCATTTTGCACCAAGTCTTAGCTTCCCACTTTATCTACTCAGTTTACCCTGTTCCCTCACCCCTCCACATAATGATGTATACCACACATGCCCATATGACACCAACACAGCTTTTTGACTCTAGGTAAAAATAGGTCTCTTGGGGCTGGAGAGATAGATAGCTCAGGGATTAAAAGCAGTGGCAGAGAACCCGGGTTCAGTTCCCACCCACATGAGAGCTAACAACTGTCCATAACTCCATTTCCAGGGGATTCAACACCCTCTTCAGACCTCAATGGGCACTGCACAACATGGTGCACTTACATACAATACATGCAGGCAATATACTCACACACGTAAAATTTTTTAAAATATTAAAAAAAAAAAAAAAAAAAAAAAAAAAAAGAGCAAAGAGCAAAGTAATGGCATAAACCCTGAAGTCAGAGCAGAGATTCAATCTCAGCACTGTCAACTGCTGTGACATGTGGAACCAACAATAAGTTAGCTAACCTCTAGGCCTGGCAAATTACCTAATCTTCCCAGGCCTGGCAAGTTTTTAATCTCTCTAGGGCTATTTTCTTAGTTTATAAAAGGATTACTGTAAGGACTAGGGATAATGCACATACACTACTTGGTAGGCAACGGAATAATGCCATTCAGCATGATTCTGTTAGCAATCAAGAACATTAACAGCTATAACCAGGACCCGTATTAGCAAATAATTCAGTTTACAAACTAAATTCTGAAGGGAAGAAGAATGTTCCTCTTCATGGAATGATAAAAAGATTAATTAAAGGTCTGGCCATCTTGGGAGGGATTTGACTGAGAAAGTAACTAACGTGGAAATGAAGACAACTTTTAACCAAAAAGTAAACTGCTCTGGCCCCTTATAGCAGAGACTAAATATGGAAACCTAGAATTATTGTGATGTTAGCGTAAGAGCACCGAGGACACTGAGACCAAGGCAGAAATGAACATTCATACACTTGAGGGCAGAGCTAGGCTGACAGGCAAGAGCAGGGGTGAGCAGTGCTACCAGATTAAGGAAGTGGATGCAGGTATCAGGCTGGCATTGAATTTCAGCTGTACCATTTGCAGTGGAGACCTGGACAAGTTACTTAACTTCTGTAGTTCTCAGCTTATCTATGAGATGGGCCTTTAAAGCAATACCTTATCACAAGGTTACCGTACAGATAAAAGGAGACTGGGGATAGAGCACGTAGGGCAGCACCATGCCAGGCGTAGAATTAACTGTGAAGAATGGCTTTTATTGTTAGTGTACTAGAAAAGTAACAGCAGCTACAGCCTGCCACGGCCACTACCAGCCTGAGGTAAGGAATGAATAGGCACCTTTCAAAAGGCAGACTATACCCAAGTCAAATAATCAAAATTCTGAACCTTTGTGGAGATAGTGTACTTGTCTCAGAATCAAAGGTAGAGTAGACCCAAAGTATCAAATCCTCATCCGATGCTCAAGTCTCTATCTAATGGAGTAGTTCTTGAGATCCATCTGTTTCCACACCCTATCTGTCCCATGGAGGTTTAAGCCACGAGCAAAAGTGGGGAACCTCATCTCCACTTTACTTTGAAACATGTCTTTACTAAGCAGTTGCTGAGTCCAGTCATGTGAAAGGGATCGGAGACATCATTTTAAGAAACAGACAAGAAGAGGGTTCTCATCTACAAACTAGACAGCATATAAAATATATCGCCTTTCACAAGACATGAGGTCCATTCTGTTAACACACTCCCATGGTTTGACTGTGTTTTAGGAAGTATATCACATTTACTTTCATGCCAGCATTCTATACTGCATTTTCTCTTTGTGCACTTTAACAGGATGCTAACTGACTGCTTAACTGACTCCATGTTACAACTCGCTAACAAAGCTGACTTCCAGGACACAAGGTTAACACTTGATATTCACCCTGTTCTGTGTAGGGAAGAGGATCCTCTGAAATTTTGACCAAGACACCAGCAGATGTCTAGCTAAGATCATGTCTTCCAACTCTTGGAAAACAAGGAGTACTTATTGAGTGTCAGGTACCTTTTGTACATCACACTTAACTATGTGAAGTAAGTGTTATTTCCTTTCCTAAGTAAGAAAAATGCTCAGATAGAAAGCCTGTCCAAGTTCTCAAAATTGCTGAGTAGCAGAGCAGGGACTCAAATGTCCACCTGTGAACTGCATGCCCCAAACCACTCACTAGAAAGATGTGCTATACTTCTCTAGATTAGAGACCACCATTTCCTCCAGGCAGTCTGTCTAACAGGCTAGTAAATGCATCCAGGAATGACTTTTAAATCTGACTGTTCAGAAGGAGAAAAGGGAGGGCGTCTCAGAAAGGTAACAGAGCAACATACACAGGATAATCCACTACAGGGGCCCTGTAAACTTTTGACTTCTGGTCATTCTCTGGACATAGCTGTAGTGCCATTAAACTGTCAGAAAATTTCTTCTAACAAACTAGTACTGTGGAAGTTATCGTCAAATAGAACCGAGTTTCCATCCTGATTAATCATTTGCCATGGATCTTAGGATAAATCATTTAACCTATGAATTTTCCGATCTATAAAATAAGGAATAATATTCAGGTTGTCAGCAAGATCACTGGTAAGATTTATTGAGATAAAATACATTCATAAGCACTCGATTAATGCAGCTGATTGTGTTTTTGATAGACACAGGCTCAAGGGACAAGTACTTGGCCAAGACCATACACAATAAGCAGTAAAGTAACTGGATTTCAAACCTTTGATTCCAGGGCTGACTCAATTGCCATTACATATTTTTCTAAGTGATATGTGTTGATATTCCTGCTAAGACTATTGTCCTTGGGCCCTGGGATCCAGCCTTTAAAAAGAAAGGAAAAAAAAAGAAAGAAAAAGAAAAACAAACAAACAAAACTGGCTTCCCAATGTAGCTAGTCTTGAAATTGAAAAAGCCAAATGCCACTACTCTGTCCCAAAGACAGGATGCATAAAGGATGGCCACTGAGTGCGGCACTTTCCCTCCTTCAGTGTGACTGCCTGCAGCCTGAGGCCCTGCTGAGGTGTGAGGTGTTCTTTTAAGCCAGTGCCTCCCAAGCTCAGCCTGTCCTCCTCTTCTTGCCTAACCTCAGGCTCTTTCTATTATCTGACCATTAGTTCTGGCCTAAGAGCAAACCAGGACAAAGTCTGGGGCTTCTCTTGCCTAATCAGGAAGTTACCCATCTTTAGAAAATCAATCTGATATTGGTGATACTGGGAGATTCTCTTTTCCATTAGAAGAGGCTGAAAAAAGAAGATTAAATAGAACAGAGCAAGGAAAGAGGGATTGCATATACAGTGACAGTGGCGGGATCTAGTATGAGTTTAACTTAGACATTTCTAGTTATGTGGTCTTATACAAGTCACTTCCTAAGCCTTAGTTTCGTGTGTAAAGCTGGACACAGAACACACTTAGAGGTGCTAAGTGTGATGAGCGATACATATAAAAATGTTTAAAAATTAATAAATTTTGAGCATTTACTATGTGCCAGAAAATAGGTACCCTGATTGAGTTCACTGAATCTTCACAATAATCCTATGATGTAGGACCTGTCTTTAGCTTACTTTTATAGATAAAGAGCCAAGAGACTAAGAGGTTAAGCAACTCCCTGAAGACCACAAGACAGAAAGAGAAAGCCAGGACTTGAACCCAGGATATCTGACTTTAAAGTCAGATCCCTCCATTTTGGTATGACTGGGGCCAGATAATGTTTTGTTGTGACGGTTATTCCATACATAAATGTTTAACAGTATCCCTGGTATCTATCTACTAGAGGCCAATAGCCCATCACACCTCAGCTTCGACAACTAAAAAGCTTCCTAGACATCCTTTCTCACCTGGGCTAAGAAGGCTAAGAATTACTGCTTCAGATAATGGCCGATGCCTAAATGCACAATACAAGAGAACCCTCCCCCCACCCCAACACCTCCATTTTGTTTGTCTCCCAGCCCAAACATCTCATTTACACAGCTACTGCCTCTTTGAGATATACTAGGTTTTCTACAGAAGTTCACGTTTGAGATAACTCTGCGCTCATTTCTTTGGAGGACTCACACACCTTCCTGTCCTCTACCTGACTGCCCATTACTCTTCTGACCTGTCCACAGCTGCCATCCCTCAGTCTCTGAGCATCCCCCCGCCTTGTGCCCCCCCCCCCTCATAGGGAACCAATCTGCAGAGCCACTTTGGGGTACACCGAAAGCCAGGGGTAGACAGAAGACCTTGGAGTTTCCTGCCTCATTCCTCCCTCCCTCCTTCTCTTCCCAAAGCCCATGACTTTGGTCTGACATGGGGAGGCTGGGCTGATCAGAGTGGAGTTAGTATAGTGCTGGACTATGTCAGGATAAAGGGGCCTTTAGTTAATGAGTAAGATTCCTCTCACAGAAAATCTCATTCTCCTTCAGGATCTCTTGAAGATTCATGATTTTATTTCCAAACCTCTGAAATTCTCCTACATTTCATTCATTCATATATAATTTATTTATAAATGTCTTTAGGGGTCCTCGGGTCTCCAAACCTCTCTGTTTCCTATGCAGAGGCTTCAAGAAAACTCCTTTAGTAGTTTAAAACAAGAAACTCACAGAACTACTCCTTGAATTCTACAGTCCAGTTATGACATTCAATCCCCACCATTCAATCTTTTTCAAACCCTATCCCCAACCCTCACAATAAAGAATTCAACCTTCCAGACTGTTGCAACCTTGCAACTCTCACAAATTACTCTTATGTGTCCCACATCTCTGATACACCCTTTAGTGTTTCCAAATTTCTGCAGCTGTCAACCCTGTATCCCACTCTAACATCTCAGTTTCGTGCTCTCCCTCAACCTGAGCCCCCTTCTCCTCCATTTCCCCACCTAGCACTGTGCCACCTCCTAACCCTGCCCCCCCATCCCCCCACCCGGCCTCACATGTTGCCTGCGAACCTTGGGGCCGTGGGCTTTGCTAACTGGATACCGATTCCCCTGGGAACTTACCCCTCAATCTCTCCTAGATTTCACTCCAGAAATCCGTTTCTCCAGCAACTGGGATCTTCCTAGACCCTGCCTGCTTTGATCTCAGACCCTGCCGGTCCCCTAAAAGCCTCAGATTCTGTTCGCCCCTCCAATCTCACCCATGCCTTCCAATTCCTTTCTATTTCTGAAATTCTGCACCCAGATCCTTCCAAGGACTTCAGATCTCCCCATTTCCCACATGCTGCACGCCGCAATCTCCGCACGGCCCCCACATTACCTCATACCTCCCGAAAGGCTGCAACTGTACATCTTCAAAGCCCCTTGCTCCCCTCCCCCAGCTGCATCTCCTCAGCCCCACCAAATCCCTCCCGAGCCCGCCCCACCCCCACCCTGGTCCTGCCCCTTCGATCCCGTCCTTAAATCCTGCTATTCAGGCGCGAATCCCGCCGTTCTACAGCTCGGCTGCGGCCCGCGACTCCCGCCGGGGTCCCCCGGTCGCCGACCCTCCTTCCCGCCCCCTACCTGACCTCCCGCGGCTCCGAAGCGTCCACGGCTGCCAGCCCACCCGCCAGCCAACCTCTGCGCATGCGCTGACTAGCGCCCTCCTCGGCAGGCACCAACTCGTAGAGCCGCCTGTCGGTCACCGTGCCCCGCCTCCCCGGGGCATGCTGGGGCTTGTGGTCCGGAGGGCTGAGCACTCGCGGCCCAGCTGTGCCTTAAGGCCCCTGCAGAATTGGAGGCCACAGCAGTGCGTGATCCGGCTTCCTGCCCTGTCCCACGATCTTAACCTCTTCAATAAACGGTAACCACCCCCCTCGAAGTGGTCTCCAGAAAGTCTAGGCATCGCACAGAGTGGCCTCTTTGAACCTCAGCTTACTTTCCCATCTGAGAGGCGGGAAGACAGGCACACAGCCGGTCTCTCTTGGAGGAGCAGCCTCCTCAGGCTAGGTATTTCTGCCTATGACGCATCCCTTACGAAAGTTGCTGAACAGATAGGGCTTATGAAAAGTTTCTTGCCTACTCAGCGGGGAGGCCAACAGTCGAGGTAGATGTGGGTAAAACCCTGCAGCTCCCGTTTCTCCTTAAGCCACCCAGAAGCACAGCTCAAGTCCAACCTTGAGCCTTGTCAGGTGGCAGGTTTTGTGGTCCATTGGCTGGCCAGGTCCTGCAGTCCCTAGGTAGTTTGGGGACAGGCAATATCTGAGCCTAAACGGGAATACAAAATACCATTTAGAAGATGAAGGACTCTAAAGCATTATATTTTCAGATCTGAAATTCCACTAAGCTGTGTGTCCCCTGCACAATGATCAAACAACGAAGAAAAAAAAGTATCTTTGAGCACTAACTGACTGGCTTCAACTAAGCACTTTACCTGCTTAGTTCGCTCCTCACAGCAGCCTTTTGAGATGAGGAAACTGAGGCCCAGATGGTTAAATAACAAAGCAACTTGTTCCTAAGTGTCAGAACCCAGATTTAAAGCCAGTTTCTAAGAGCCAGCGTTCTTACTGTTCTTAATATTGTTTTATCTTTCTGTCAATTTCTTCATCTCCAAATAAAGTCAAGATGTGCTGTGATGATTAGTTGAGGTTATAAATGATTTGCATTAAATAATAACTTTTTAAAAATTATAATTAACTGGGTGGAGTAGTACTTCAGAGGATAATCAGGAAGTACTGAGAATTTAAGGCCAAGCTGGGCTACATAGTTAAAGGCCTGCCTAGGCTACATAGCAAAACCCTGCCTCAAACAAAACAGAACAAAAAGTTGTAATTAATTTTTAATTTCACCTGGTATGCACCTAGTGCCATAAACTCTGACCTCTAGAATTTTGGATATTGGGAAATGAGAGGGTTGGTTGTCAGACTTTACCACTCTCTTTCTCCAAAAGGATTAAAATAGTTCATGAAATCTCAATCAGACAAAAACCAGCATTGGGCTGGGGAAATGGGCAGGAGGCCCCAAACTTAGCTGAGAAACTATTGACAGCTGATCACTGCCAGGTGAGGGAGAGTCAGCCAGGCTTGTTTAAGGGAGTGATGCTAGTTATACTGACCAAGCTCCAGTGGATCATTAAGTCAATGCATTTACCAAACACGTTGTGGGGGAAATCAGGTAGTTGGACTACAGTATGGCAGGGAAATCTCTTTTATGGGTTCCAGATCCTATAACATTCTTATCTTTAGAGTTGGTGGAATTTAGTGTTCTTCTAAGTTTAAAAGTACATTCCAAAAGTTTTACCTAATAGTCACAAGGATGTTAGGTCCGATTCAGGGGTTGGTATGAAAAAGCTATTAAGAGGACTAAAGATAGTTCAAAACAAATTTGGTTCTATATCCATTCCTATATTTCATTACTCCATAATCATGAAATTCTAGTCATTTGGTCAGTCTGAAGTATCTTTAGCACAGGTATAACTTTTTCAGAGAACTTCAGTTCATACATTCTTTGAACAGAATCTAGGGGCTCTGGACTCTTGGGTTGGCACAAGGCTCTGAGGCTTTCTGAGACAACCCGGTTGACTTGGAATGTAGACTTTGAACAGTCTAGCTAGGACTAGATTGGGGGGAGGGGGAGACTTAGGCATTCTGAGAAGACAGCCCAGTCAGAGACTGAATAAGTAGAGCAGAGTTCAATCCAAATGGATAGCTTGTAGGTGCAGCTACAACCTTGGAGAAATGGGGAGGGAAGTTGTGTTCCCTTCTCCCACCTTCCTGGGCTCCTGGTAACTCTGGTGTGTTTGTTGCATAAGATTTTGCACTTGGATAATTTTTTTTTTTTTTTTTTTTTTTTTTTTTTTAAAAAAAAAAAAAAAAAAAAAAAAAAAAAGAGGACGATAAATCTTTCACTGTGATATATCAAAATAA